CCAGAGAGCCACACCCACACACACACACACACACACACACACACACACACACACATGCACATTTGCTCAGGCCAGAAACCCTAGCCCTGGACCTGCCCAGCCAAGAAGCATCCTGATTGGATGCTGATTCTGCCCCACGGGCACGGAGGGTCTCCTAAAGCAAGCTCTGTGTCTGCACACCTGGCCAGCACCTCTCTGCTCCCCAGAGCCAGGGCCCGCTCCACCCTCGGGGCTGACTTGTGGCCAGTGAGCCCCATGCTGGAGTACAAGGCAGATCTGTGAATGACTGCCACAGTCCAGGGCAGCAACTCCACAGGGAAAGTGGATGACAGGCACAGCAGGGGCCACATAGGGCTTCCTGGAGGGGGCCCCAGGCTGTCTGGAGATGTGGGCCTCAATGGCTCCCACCCTCACTGTGGGGTTGCTGAGCTGCTGAGGGCCTGCCCGAGAGCCCAGGAGGGTCACAGTTGGGCTCGTCACCAATACCATAATAGCCCCGAGAGACCTTTGAATGCCACACCAAGGAACAGGAGTCTCTGAACGACTGTGACAAGGCTGGTGAAGTCATCCTGCGGGACAGCAGCGGGGACAGGTGCGAGAGGTGTTGCTGCCCTTTCGGTACTGTCACTTTTTCTTGGGGCTGGTAGATTTCCTCACACAGTTTATTTGCTCTTGATCAGATCCCCAGGCAATGAAAGAAGAATGAGTCTAACAGAGATGGGAACTGAGCTCCTGCTCATACACCAGGGAACAGAGGCCAGAGATATCAGGTGATTTGGCTGAGACTACAGTCAGGATTAGACTCAGTACCTCTTTTGTCGAGAGGGCTGGGGTCCCAACCATATGAGCTCGTGAAGGGAGGAAGAAGCAAGGTCCATAGCTGTGCGTCCTGTGGACCAGGGGACCCTGAGCTGGCTGATGTACTGTCCAGTCCCTCCCTGGACAGTTCCCCCACCCCCAGCCCAGGCCTGGAGCCAAGGAGCAGTCTGAGATGTGTGGCGGGATTGTGCCCAGGGGCCAGGCAGCTGGGATGGGGTAGCCGAAGGACAGGAAATAGCTGGGTTTGGGGAAGTCTGTGTAGCTGGCCAAGTCCAATGCAGCGATTGCTGGGCAGCCTTGCATGACAGTCACTGCCAGCGTGGGCACACACTGGGGCCATTGACAGGAGGAGCCCCAGGAGAGGCCCGGTGGAGCTGGATGCCCGGAAGTTGCCCTGCCGGGGAGGGGGCTTGTGGGATAGGCGGTGTCCAGAGGGAAGGGAGCTGTGAAATGAGCCCAGGCTGCTGAGCAGCAGAAATGAGGGCGGTGACAGGGAAGGAACAGCTCCCATGTTCCACCGGCCATTGCAGTGTCACCTTCTCAAGTCTCCAGTGGCCTCGTATGGCATGTGTTGTGCTATGGCCAGTCCTGAGGCTGGGGAAGGAAAGGTGTTTGCCCAAAGTCACACTCACCTTTTGAGGCCTGGCGCTGGGCCTCATGGGCATCAGGGAGCCTCTGGGTGTGGCAGGACATTGGAACTGGCCAGGGAACATGAGGACACTGAGCAGAGGGACCTTGAAGGCTGCAGGTCCCCCTGATTCTGGGTGCAGGCTCCTGGCCAGCTTGCACCACCAACGCCCATGGATGGGGAGCCCCTCCCTCCCAGCTGAGCTTTTACATGGGGCTGTCTGCTGTCTGCAGCAAGGACTTCCGCCTCCTCCCCACATGCCAGGAGCAGAGATGACTGAGGCTCCGCCTATCCTCACTCTCAGGGCCACAGCGAGTGAGAGAGGTGGGAGCAATTGTAATGCCCATGAGGGGTGCTGGGACGGGAGGGAGCTGGGTGAAGGCAGGCTTCCTGGTGACTCCTGAGTTGGAGCAGGGCTAGGTTAGCCGGGTGGAGGAGGGGGAAGATGTCCTCTATACCAGAACGGGGGCCTGGGGTGGACAGGACAGGGCTGCACGGGTTAGAGAGGGACCCTGGAGGGCTGGATCCAAGCTCCACCCAACAGTACTAGGCCACGCTCTGAACTTCAGTTTTCTCATCTATAAAATGGGGTAGCAAGGACCGCCGCAGGATTCATGAGAAGCAAATGAGTTAAACGTAGATCCTCAGAAGAGAGAGTGTGTTCAGTCAGGAGGGTGACACAGAGCAGAAACCCACACCTTGGCGTCTTGGACAATCTGGGGTATATTTTTCATATTTAGCAAGAAATCTAGATGTAGACAGTTACTGGTGTAATTTCATCAGCTTAAGAGTGCTAGGGCCGAATCTTTCAATCGCTGTTCATCTTTCCCTCCTGCTCTTAAGACAGCTGCTGCTACTCCTTCTAACACATCAGTTCTCAAGGTAGGAAGACAAAAGCCTTCCCAGAAACAGTGCCCTTTCACTCAGCAGCTCCTTTACCTCTCATTGGTCAGGGTTGGTTGTATCCTGGCCAGCAGCACTAGCTGCAAGAGAGCCTGGGAAATGGATGTATTTTGCAAGGGGAATATGGAGCAACCCACCCTGCAATGCCTTCTACAAAGCTTGAATAGTACTAAAAGCTCATCAGGTAGAGGCATCTGGTGTTAAGTCCAGGGACCTGGAGCTGAAGGTGCATTTAGGGAAGACAGAACAGACAGCTGGGATCCTGCAGGGCCTTGGCCACCAGCCTCAGGGGTGGTAGACATGGCCCCACAAGCTCTGGGTCCCTGGGAGATGGTAAACAGAAGGGCAGCATGACCACAGAACTAAGTATGCTCCCAGAAGATAATCAGAGGCTGGGCTTTGCCCCTGCGGAGTCCCTGGGCCAGAGAAGGCGGCTTCATAAATGTGGGGGCTGGAGGAAGTGACTGCTCACGGGGCCCTGTGGCTCTCCTGCTGGAGGATGGGGTCCACTGCGGCCCAGGGAGAGGCTGATGGGAAACGGTCATGGTGAACGGCCCGGAGCATGAAGCTGGGCAGTGGCCATGCCCAGGAATCCGAACCCAGAACCCAGAAGGAGGACGCCACGGTGGGTGTGCAGTCACGGAGAGCATTTGGGAACTGAGCACACAGGGCAGGGATGGAAGATGAGGTGCTAGGGTTTGCGCTCTCTCGGGGGATATGTGATCAGAGGGGCTTGGAGTTCAGGGGAGTGAGGGGGCAGGAGCTGGATGTGTGGGTAGGATGTGGGGGTCACCCAGGCTCACAGAGTTGTGAACCCACCAACAGGATGTGAAGCTGATCAGTCTGTGACCCACACAGCACTGCAGAGTGCCCTGAGCTATGTGTGACACTTCACACCCCAGAGGCTGAGGTTCACACCGCAGGTGGACAGGATGGGGAGGTGGGGAAGGGGAGCCCACTCTGTGGTGCGGAGCCTTGAGCTGTGATTGGGGCGAGCGGACTTCCGGGGAGGCCACTCAGGTCCACCCAGCACCAGCGATATCTCTGAGTTGCAACAGAATCATTTTATGCGTCAAGAAAAACACACTAAAGGAAGAGGGGTGGACCTTCCCTCTGGCTGACCTTGGCTCTGTGGGGACTGCAGAGCCTTGGCTGTGGGTGGAAGAACAGCCCCTGTGGGTATCTGAGGCCACAGGCTCCTGTCCCCTGCTGGTTGGCTGGGCGCCCTGGGTCTGGTCACATTCCAGCCTCTCTCTTAGGACCCAGGGGGAAGCCACCCTAGTTGGCCACCAAGAGCGACCTGACCGGGATCCCAGTGTCAGCCCCCCGGGAGCCACAGCTGGAAGTAGAGCTGGGTTGCTGCCACCCCAGAGGTGCAGATGACCACAGTGGCACTGGCCTCTGCTCGCTGTTCCTGTGTGGCAGGGTGGGGTGGGGTGGGATGCTCCAGGCAGGGACACAGCCTGACCTGCATCGGAGGGGGACTCGTCTCTCCCGTAGTAACTCGTGACCTGGACAGGACTCCCTGCAGCCTTATCTGTGGGTGCGGCTGAGTTCCCGTGGGCACTCTGGGGGAAGTGGGGTGTCCGACC